GCTGAAAAATTGCCTCAAACTTGTGGTAATTGAAGAGGACATTGTGGGCTTTACAACGGTATCCGAAATCGGCGGTTTTGGTGGTCGAAAGTTGCCGAATAATTGCCTCAAACTTGGCCAAAAAATCTGAAAATTCAGCGACCATTTTGAAAGAAATTTCAAACTTCAGTGACCGTTTCTAAAATTTTGAAACTTCAGTGACCATTTGTGCAACTAACCCTTTTCCCTACAAAACATTTTCTAGGCAAATCTTTTCCCTGTAAAATATTTTATTTCCACCCATTTTCCACACTTGCAATCAAACGCACCATAAGTGAATGTTAATTAATTTAGAATTAATATCAGGGAATATATCCATGACAATGAATGTTAAATTATTTAATTAATTTTCAATTAAATAAAACTGAATGTTAATTAGTATACATGGACTCGAATAATGAAATACATTCTTGAACGTGAAAATCTAATTAACTTACAATTAGAATTAATGACACTGAAATGCATAATTGAAAATGAATATTAATAAATTTAAAATTAATAACAGAAAAATTATACATTATTAATGAATGCACACGTTTGAAATAAATCTGTCAAATATACATGTGCATTGAGGTAACTAATGGTTAAGTAAATTAAATATATATTAAAAAACATAAAGTAATATATTATTGAAATAATTGAACTACAGTAGGGTTAGAATCGTCCAAAAAATTATTTTCATTTGATGTAATATATTATATATTTCTTATGCTCGAAGAACGTGTACTTATATTAATATATTTGCAAGGAAATATATGCATTCTGTATTTAATCAAATATTTACAAAATAGTGAATTTGCTTATCTTATAATCTTGAATTAATTCCTTGTGATTATATAACTACAATGAGATGGATTAATTCTATGAGTAAGAGCATCTCTAATGGTGGTATAAAATAGAGATTTAGATATTCAAAAATAGTTGAAAACCTCTTCAACGACGATATGCAAATTGCATTTATCAACAAAAAATGTAAAAAAAAAGAGATGAAAATTATCTACAAGAGGCAAAAAGTAGATATAGATCTTTCCATTGGAGTATAATTTGGATTTAGATCCAACATGATGGAAATAAAGATGCAAAAGTGATTTTGAATATACAAATTTACACCACAATTGAAAATGTGATACTCCGAATTAGATATAAAGATAACTCTATGTATATTTTTATCTTTAGACAACACAATTCAAATAGGACTACTAGTCCAGTCCAGATCCAACTAGCACATGAGATCCTGAAAGAGAAAATTTCATAACTAAGAGATTAAATTTCACTCATTTCAAATTTAAGATATAAGGATTAAAATTTCAAATTTCAGATTTTTTAAGTTTTAAAATTTCAAATCTCAGATTTTTTAAATTAATTAATTAAACATATATTTTATTAATTAAATATATTAATGTCACAATTCCATATAATTTGTTCACAATATAATTTAGTCACAAATTCTATATAATTGATCACATATAATTAATTTGTTACAAATCACAAATTTTACATGTCACAAATTATTTTACGGTCACAATTCAAAAAAAGTATGTCA